CCACGGTCGCCGCCGTGCCCCTCCGGTTTTCCCGCGTCTGACACGGAACTCACGTCTGCGTGCACAAAGGAGGCTTTTCTCATAAAAGGGGTCCTCGGCGAAGGGGATGAAGACCCCATCACACCGTAAGTAAAAGTAGACAATGTCTCCTCTGAAGACAAGGTGGGAAAAATTTTTGTAGCATTGCTATTATGTAAATATTTGGATAAGGAATGCAAAAGCCAAGAAACCCCCCGAACTACCCAGCCTCCTCCCTCCGCGCTGCAGGGTGCCCCGCCGCCGCCCTGCAAAGCCAGCAACCGCTCCCATCTTTTACTATGGCCCTAAGAACTCAGAACCACGTCAGTCTTGTTTAAAAATGACACTGCCGCCAATCTTCTGTAAGTAATTCAATAATGATCATCAATGTAGAGCCTTTTCTGAACTTGAGATGTTCTTTAGGATCGGCTCCCAAGAGCAGAATTTTGTAAGAACTGTATTACTCTTGGGTGGAACCAAATGAGTATTTGGAACTCAGATACAGAGAAGGCGAAGTAAGGAACTAAAAGTTGAACAAGTAGGATTAATTTAACTTCAGACTTAGAAAAGAACAGTCCTGTGGCCGACTGTGATCTTTCAGAATCTGTAATATTTCAGTATTTTATTTTCTACATTCAAAATACACCCATCACTCCAGTGTGACAGATGTTAACAGTGCCACTTCATGTCCGTTTTTAAGAAAGAGTCAAGCCTTCCTCACAGCAGCCCTGCCCACCCCCACCGGGAACAACGGCTCCTGAGATGCGCACGACCCCACACAGCTTCCTGTAGCCTCTCCTTCCCCGAATGTTACCAGCTGCTCGTGTCCCCAGCCTTAGACACCACAACGGACCCCCTGGTCACTGGACCCTCTGCAACTCCTGGTTGGGGCACGCAGGACGCGATCAGCAGCCCCCACACCGCGCCCTGTGCCCACGGCTGCCCAGGCTCTGCCCCAAGACAGAACTGCTGGACTGTGGGGCGCGTGCACGTGTGACACCAGGTCTGTCCTGCAGAGGCCACGATGAGGGATTCCCACCGTCAGCCTGAGAACAGCAACTTCTAGACAAAACTGAATCTTGCCAGCCTTTTAAACCTGTGATTCCGACATCAGGCCACTGGACACGAAGGTTTCTTCTGAGAGCTGCCTGTTGCTGTCTCCTGCCCAGCTACCCACGCGGTGTCTGCCGACCGGGTACCATGACTCTGTGATTTGGTTATTTGGAATTTTGTGTTCAGATGTGTAATTTACTGTGCTCCACTATCAATCTTCAATCTTCCATGATTTGTGCTTTCTCTATTTTAAATGCCTAGAAAAAAATACCTCAATTTTCATGTTAGATGTTTTCATTTTGGTTTTTTTTTTTTTTTTTTCCATTCAGACCTTGAATTCCCTGGCTGCCCCGGCCCCGGCCTGTTTACAGTACGACTCCTCCTTTTCCCACCCTTCTGCGAAACCACCTCCATCCACCCAGGGTCCAGCTAGGTGTGCCTTTCCTGAGCCCTCTGCTCCTCCATCTGGGGGCCTCTGTGACAGTATCATACTGTTGAAGTCACCACAGCTTCGTAAGTTACCTTTAAATTTTCCACACACACTTGCCTCCATCTAATGGTTAATACTGATTGATCTCTAGCTTCTTTCTGATACTGGAAGAAATTTTTAAAAACCCCACAATAGTCACTATCTTCCCCTACACATTATAATGACATGGCTCCAATCCCGCTTCCCTTAGGGCGGAAGTTACTGCCTTAATATTAAGGTGTAAGTCTAAAAACAGATGTGTGTACACAATCAAGTTTATCTCAGACTTCTCCAAATGAAATCACTTTCCTTCTGCCTCAAGTACAACCTTCAGAATTTTTGCCACAAGAGCTTAGGATGTGCACACCTTCCCTGGGAGGATGGTGTCAGTGGGGACAGAGCGCTGTGCTGAAGGTTCAGCCAGAACACCCGGCCTCCCTGGCCTGCCGAGTCCACCAGCAGCCTCACTGCTGCTCCTTTCCAGCGCACCCTTTTTCCTCTGCTTCAAGCTTGCCTTTTCAAAAAGAAATTTCATTATGATTTTCTAGATTTCTTTACTTACCAGTCTTGGAATTTAGGCTTCCTGAATCTATGGATTGGTACCACATTTGTTCTGAAAAAATTCGAAGCCAACACTACCTTTGATCTGTTTCCCTCTCCGGCTCTGACTGAAGCAGCCTGGCCTCTCCCTGAATGCTGTGCACCTCTCTCCCACGTCCCACATTCTCCGATTTCCAAACTTTGGTTACTGTATTTCATCTTTAGAAGTTCCTTGACCTGCTTTTTTCTCTGCACATACATAAGACTGTCTCATTTCTGTAAATACAAAAAGCGCTCTGCATTGCCGGGGGCTCCACTGGCTCTTGTCTTGTTTTTGTATTTGAATTATCTTTCACTGAAAGCTGCTAAAAGCCCTTGAAACACACGTGAGGGCTCCTTGAGACCTAGGGTGACGAAGCTGCTGTGCAGAGACAATGGTTTTCATTCAATTCCAGTCTTTTAAACCAGCTGCACGAGGGCGAGGAACACTCTCTTTCCCACTCTTTCCAGACCCCGCTCAGCGCCCTGTGGTTCTCCAGACCCTGGAGGGCTTTCCTCCAGGACACTCCGAGGTCCCAGCTTACGGTGCACGTGGGGCTCTATTCAGTGGCCCCCACACCAGGAGGGGCTGGGTGTCCCTCGGCCACAAGACCCCTGTGCTCCCTGGTGCAGGAGCAGCTCTTGGGCGGCTGGGACACGTGTGTCTGCAGGTGGCTGAGTGCACCCCACTCCCTTCTGCCCTCGGCTGCCGCTGAGAGCTCAGCTGTCTGCAGTCTTGTCTCTCCTGTTACTTTTAGGATTTGGGTTTTTGGCGTTCCCCAGTTTTGAGTTTTCTCTGAGGTAATTTGCTTGGCTTAACCTTGCAGTTTACTGTCTGCCTCAGGTGTGTTCCAGCTGCAATTTAACTTAGTTGATTTCAATGAGTATTTTTTCACTTCTTGAAGTTTTCCGTTTTCCACATCTTCACTTTGTATAGTGTCCCTTCTCATTATAGTTTCCACTCCTTTTAAAGAACTCTCCAGGCACTGTGAGCATTTTCTGTGGCACGTTACCTCCTCCTGAGGCAATGAGCTCATCTTCTGTCCGGAAGCTGTACCTCTTCCTACAGCGTGGTCTTGAGCGACGGAGGGTGATGTTAACTTCTTCCAGAGTAAGATCTCTGTGCCCTGCAGAGTACAAACTGAGAGTCTCTGACCAGGAGGCAAAGGAGCAAAGCCTCAAGCCTGCTTCACATGCCCAGCTTTGCCACGTCCGTGGGCTGAGGTTTCTGGTCCTGTGTCCACATCTCGTCAGGGTCCTGGGTGTGTGCGTGTGTACATGTGCCTGTGCCTGTGTGTAAGCGGTTCTAGGTTCTGGCCCCCCCATGCAGTCCGTGCCTCGTCCCTGCTCCGCGTTCACGTGTCACCATGGCAGGAGCCCTGAGCTCTGTACTAGCTCTCTCCTCTTTCCTGTCATCTGGAAATTTCCTTTTCTCTCAAGCTTGGCTTCTTTAAGCCTTAGTCGCACACTCACACACACAGGTGCTCCTGAAGTGTAGCTGACTCTCAGCACTGTACTGTCTCGGGAGCACAGCGCAGTGGCTTTGTGTTCCATGAAGTACCAGAAGACCACACGGGAGGCCCGGCTGCCCCGCGTCAGCGCGGTGACCACAGTCCTGCCGCCTGTCCTCCCCGTGCCTTCTTCATCACTTCTTAACCCCCTTCGCCTGTTCTGCCCACCCCCGTGATACACCATGCAGCCCTCCGTGTGGGGCGCAGAGCGCTCCAGCCTCAGGTGTGAGTCTCCCCTCCAGCAGCACAAGGGTCACAGCTCGAGGTCAACACGCGCACTGACGCCCTGTAACCTGTGCCCGGTGTCGTCGCAGGACCGCCCCACCTGGGACAGGGTCCATACTGGATCCAGAGGCTCGGGCGCAGGCCGGCAGGAGCGCCACTGACCATGTGTGGGCGGGAAGCGGAGACGTCAGGACAGGCGCGGTCAGGACAAGGGCCCCGCCTGTCAGAACAGCACCAGATGTGGGAGGATGGCCGGGACACACAGGGAAGAAGAGTTTGCAGCCAGAATACAAGGGCTTCCAAAGAGCCACGTAAAGGAATCTGTATTTCATCCTAACTGCTGACTGCTGAAAGGGAAGCCCTCGAAAGATTAAGCTCTAATACATGAAAAAATCAGACTGGCTTCTGTAGAAACATCTTTTGGGGGCTATAGACACCATGGATTATAAGAAGCCAGAAAAACTGGGAAACCACTTTAACGGCTGTGGTAAGAACCTAGGAGAGACAAAGATCTTTTTCGCCTGAAGCACTAAGCAAGGACATTATGAAAGAGATGAGTTCAACGTTCTGGAGACACAGATGGGAATCTGTAGATTGCCAAATTCAGCAAAAAGCAAAAAACCAAACCAAAACAACAAAAACAGAAGGTCCAATTAAATTTGAACTTTGGAAAAACAATGAGAACCTGTTAGTAAGTCCACGCAGCTTGTGGACACACCTGACGCCCTGTACTCCACCTGGCTATCCCGCCTACAGGCCAGGTCCCCGCGTGCAGGGGCCGAGGCCGGAGCGGCCAGGCTGGCCGGCCAGGTCGAGGCGCGCGCTCACCTGCATCGTGACCAGTCTGTCGTCTACCATCACCTCCTTTGTCAGAAAGTCCGCTCCTATTGTGGCTTTGTACTGATTACTGAATTTCTTGTTCACATACTGGTTCATGAGGGACGTCTTTCCGACTCTGAAATGGGAGGAAAACCACAAGTATGAGTCGACTAGGAAGCACTGAAAACTGCTTCTGACACTTGCAGCTCGGAAGGAACCAGCCCATCTGGCAGGAGAGCAAGGCGCTGCCCCTCCCAACAGAGGCCGGAGCCAGAAACGTCCCAGCTTCACTCTCTTGATGACGCGCTGTCTCCTGGGACAAAAACACAGGGCACAGATGTGGGCCAGACGTGGAAAAGCTGCTTGTAAGTCTGGCACAGCTGGCAGAACCCAGCATTACTCTTTCTTACCCTGCGGGACACCAACCATACGCTCGCCCTGAAGGAAGCCTCGGCAGTAAGCCGATCCGCTGGTCCAGCAAGGCCTCTGCCGCCCTAGGCGTCTCTCCACGCAGAGGCCGCCACCCAGGCCAAGAAAACAGCAGCGAGAGGAAGGTGCTGGCGTCACGCAGACGTGTGCGCCCACCAGCCCTCTGCTGCCTCACGGCCACTCCACCAAAGCAGCACGGCCTCAGGGCACACGCCTCAGCGCACCCTCCTCGGGGCACACGCCTCGGGTGAGCGCGCGGCTGCAGCAAGAAAATGCAGCGAGAGGCTGTGTGCCTGTTTTTCGCTAACAAGGACAGGCTGGGCTGAAGGAAGTGCAAGACATCCTCACAGCCAATATCTCCCTTCTCCACAAAGGAACAGCCATTTCATACGCAGGGCCCGGAAGCACAGACAGAGCCTAGGGCATGTTCTCCAACCCAGGCCCCCGGAATCAGTTTCCAGGGGGAGAAGTCAGGAAATCCGCAATCAAACAAGGACCTGGTGGCTCTTCTCAGGCACGTTTGGGGCAGCCCAGAAGCACTGCCAAAGAGCTCCTGCACACTGGTCTGGGCAGATGCTAAATCTTTCTTCTTTCTTTTCCTTAAATGGAGGCACTAGGGATTGAACCTATGACCTCCTGCATGCTAAGCATGTGCTCTACCACGGAGCTCTACCCCACACACCAGCAAATGTTAATTTTTAAAGGGCTCCTTAGGTGATTAAAAAAGCCAGCCAGGGTAGAAAAGTCCCTGCCTTTTAAAAGGAACTTTGGAATAAGGAGGCACACCTGAATGTATTATTAATTTTAAAAATATGTAGCCTCCAGCAGGTCTGAGCTTCCGCGGGTCACTTCAGATGCCCAGTCTAAGAAGCCTCCCGCAGAACCCCACAGCTACTAAAGAACTAGTTACTTGGGCACAGCGCCAGGACAGGGGCAGACCCTGCCTCAATGCACCTTGCAGGAGTCGCCTTTTTTGCAGATTGAAGGTTTGTGGCGACCCTGTGTCAAGCAAGTCTATCAGCACTGTTTGTCCAGCAGGATTTGCTCACTTCATGTCTGTGTCCCACTTTGGTAATACGTTCGTCGTAATGATCTGTGATCAGTGATCTTAGATGTTACTATTGCAGAAATACCATGACTCACTGAAGGCTGAGATAATGGTTAGCATTCTTCTTTTAAAGCAGTAAAAGCATCTTTAAATTAAGATGTGTACTTTTTTTAGTGGGAATGCTGCTCCACACTTAGTACACTGCTACTTTTACACACCCTGGAAGCCAGGGAAGTCGTGTGCCCGCTCTGCGGCGGTGGTCTGGAAGCCAACCCACACATCTTCGAGTTACACATGTACTGCATAGTGTCCCCAAACCTACATCTCAGAGGCATGAAGCCAATGCAACAAGTCTGCATAAAAACGACTCCCTGGTCTGCCCAGCTTGAGAAAAAGGAACCCCATGATTTACCCAAACCATGCCCAGGCTGGGGGCCGAGGGGTTACACAGCCAGGTCCGCTCAGGTCCCCATTGTGCCCTCAGCAGCGGGGAAACGAGGCAGCGGGTGTCAGCGTGGCAGGCTCGGGCTCAGGCTCCAGGAAATGAGTTTAAATCCTCGCTCATCTGTTAGCTCACATCCGTGAGGAACACTTACCCGGAATCTCCCAGGATGATAA